TATTAGAGTTCCTCTCATTCCAGCTGACAGCAGGGCTCACTGGCCACAGAAGATAGCGAGAGGGCTTCACACAGGTCGAGGGCCATAGGCAGGATGGGATGCTGGACTGTGAGGCAGATCATGTAGGCTTACCAGCTTAGTGTACCTCTCTTCCTTCCAAGGATTCTGCTTATGGTGACCAGTCTAGACTATCCCTGCTGGCCACCCCAGTGGCATTCTTGAGTAGGAACAGGGCAGATGGTCCTGGGTGTCTCCTGAATCTTATTTTGAACTCCCTCTCTCTCAAGTTGCCAGGGACCTTCTTGGGGAATGAGGTTGAAGATATGATGGAAAATAATGCATCTCCTACTCTGGTATGCAGAAACAAAGTAGGCAAGTGGAACACATTTTCTCTTCCCTCCACTCCCTTTCAGAAAGGGGAAGCTACTTCTCAAGAGCCATGCTCTAGCTACCCTGGGTTCTAAAGATCCTTGTTCCAGTCCAGGGTCAATGAGAGATGTAGAGAGTGTCCGTATGATTCCCTCCTGTGCTCTCAGGATCCCATGGGCTGTTATAAGTCCTGGAGAAAGCCTATTTGGGGTTTAGATTCAGGGGGCATCCCTAAAGGAGAAGGGGGATAATGGAAGAGAAGTCAAGTTGGGCCTAGTGAGGGTTTCCCTGGTATCTAAATTTAGGGAGAGCCCAGATGAGAACGCCATTGATTAGTTTCTGTTACTTTTACCTCATTCTCCTTCCCTTACTGTGGGCAGAGTTAGAAGGAACCATTTACTATTCATCTAGAGAAGCATCACTTAGATATCTTCTAAAATCCCCCAAACCCAAGGTGTCATTATAGCAAGGTATCTTTATTTGCTGTCTGTAAGACTGTTTGATTTAAATTCCCGTTAAAAAAGGTTTCTTTCTAGGAACGTAAGTCCATCTGAAATGAAGCAAGAACACTGGACTCGTGGTGGATCTGCCAAACACTAAAGATTATAAATATTACCTTGTGTGTACAAAAGGCTTAGTGGGGTCCTAAAGCTTAATTAAGAAAAACAATACAGTGTGTGTAAAGACAAATCACAAGAGGGTTTCCTCAGGCATAGACTCATCTGCTGGGTGAAGACTCATGAATGATTCACCCCTTCTACTGAGGGAATTTGGATAGTCTGGAGTTTAGTTGTGGATGGAGGGGCTCTCATGAATAATGTCACACAAATTTTAGGCAGTGCTTGGGTGGGCTAAGAGGGCTCTGAGCTCTGTGTGCAGGCTCTCACAAGTTTTTGACATTTGCCTCACTGAGTAATCAGAATGGGGACAGATAAAATATTTCCATCACCGGAGAAAAGAGAAAACAGCACATCTTCAAAGTTTATGAATTTTTCTTGGGTTGGCGTTGGGGGAGGTGAGTACAAGAGAGTGGGCTGGGACCCAGAAGTCTCAGGCGGTGATCTCTGACTAAATGCAGCTTCTGTTTTTACAGCTTAGTCGGGGAGAGCTGTTAGTTTTTCTAAGCACAAACCAGGCATTCGTTCTCTAAGCTCAGTGTTTAGGCTACAAAGCCAGTACAACTGTCTTACATACCTACCTTCAGAAAAAGGATGGTTCTGACCTCAAACTCAGCAAAATCTTCAGTGCATTGCCACGCTTGGAACCCATCTAAGCAAAGCCCTTTGGAGGGCTGAAATGTAAGAGGAATGCTAAATGTCAGCCCCTACCTCCAAGAAAAATAAATCCATAATTCTCAGCCAAGTACACCTGCCTATTTGTATCTTTTCTTTTCAATGGGTCGCTTTACTCCGAGTTTTCTTTCTGCTCCGTGTCTGCTATTTTTATCTTACCTAAGAACACTGAAATCAGACCAGGCGCCAGACTTCTGAGACACCCTGGGGAAGGTGGCTGGCTTCCTGAGGTCTGTTCCTGAACTCTCCAAGTGTAGTTAGAACCACCTCAGAGTTCAGGGCTGGGGAAAAACTGCACAGGAGGTCACCGCAGGGTGAGAGTGGGGACCAGTGTTGCTGGAGAAGGCTGGAAGGAGCCAATGCTGGTGCAGATTGTATGGAGGGAAATTGCCACACAACATATACATTCCTATGGGGTAGTACCGTACAGAAAACATTTGGGCAAAGATTCTTCTGTCTGTTACCCCCAGGAAGCTAACCTCAACGGCTGATGCTGTGTAGCTTCCCTGACTTTTAGGCTCCCAGATGGACTTGGCTGATCTAGGGCAAGGGTACAGAAATTTGAGAAAAGAGAGCAGAGTGAGAGGTAAGAGTTCCTGTCTCTGCCTTTCCTGATCACATCTGTGGCTTCTTCCTTCAAGTCCTCTCCCTACTGGGCAGCCTCTCTTGCACTTTAGTTCTCTCTAGAGTTTAGGTGATACCTGTTTAGTGTTTTTAGATACCGATCACCTTCTCAATTCCACCCAGAGTGGTGTGAATAATTGTTTGAATTCTTTCTCTTTACCCCCACCCAGCTCCTTTTTCTTTCAAGCAGGCCATTGTTCCCTCTGGAGATCTGAAGGAAGAGAAGAACCAGTTTTCAGCTATTTCCTTTGATCGTCCTTTTAATATTGGAACTCATCATGAAGTTTCACGGTGTTTCTTTTCGGCGTTCTGAGGTGGAGGCGCAGGCACGAGGGTTACTAGGATGGCTGTGCTCTTGAAGGCAAGGCTACCTCTAGGTTTAGCATTAGTGCGAATTTGGAGGTAATCTGCTTTATACTCATCCCTTTAGTTTGGTGAAATGTATTTGATATCATTGCTAAGCCAGTCACTGTCCAAACCAAATATTAATACTACCCAAGACGGTGTTGACCTCGGCCGAACTGACCTTGCTGTGAAACAAGGACCGAGACTGCTGCAAAGTCGTATTAGTGTAACCAGACCATGGACGAAGTCCAGCTTATAGGAGATGCTCATTTACATGTTGAGAAAGACCTAGCGTCTTTGGTTTCTTCATTTCCACAATATTTAGTCCTATCTAGAGTTCAACATCTCTTCAGTCCTGTGACTTGATGACCATTCAGTATTAACTAATACTAGGTTGGTGATGTTATCTGGGTGTGACTGACAATGAGAATTCCGTGTACTTGACACCATAGTAGACATTAAGGATACTAAATTTCAAAGCATTTGCATTTGTTTTACTTTATGTGTGTAATTATTTGCCTGTATGTATGCATATGCACCATGTGCAGCCTAGTACCCACAGGAGTCAGAAGACATCAGAACCTGGAGCTATGAATGGTTGTGAACCAGAGTATGTGGGTAATGGGAACCTGACCCCGGCCTTCAGAAAGAACAAGTGCTCTTAGCTGCCGAGTCATCATTCTAGTCCAACGATATTAAGTTTAAGGCCACATTTTTGCTTACTAATGATTAAAACAATGCACCATAGCTCATGGTGGCTCATAGCTTTAGACCCATGGAGGGCTATAGCTAACAGAAAGACTGAGATAGGAGGCTTACTTGAGATTATGAGTTGAGTTCAAAGCAGCCTGGGGAATTAACAAGAGTCTATCCGAAAAATAAACAACAAACCAAAAAAAAAAGCTTCAATATTTAAAATTTTTGTATGTCTCTTCTTTGACAAAGGTCATAAAATGAAATATCTGGGTTAGAAGATACTTAAGTAGTTAGGACATCCCCTGACATCTAGCAGGGTGCTGATAAAAATCTCTGGGTGATCCTGTTCTCTTACACACCCTGCATTGCTGTGGGACAATGGTCCTTTATCTTGTCACTTGTATTATTTTTATTTTTTTGTTATTATTATTATTATTATTATCATTATTATTATTATTATTTGGTTTTTCGAGACCGGGTTTCTCTGTAGCTTTGGTGCCTGTCCTAGAACTAGCTCTTGTAGGCCGGTACTATTTTTAATAAAATGCTGATTGGCCAGTAGCCAGGAAGGAAGTATAGGTGGGTGACAAGAATTCTGGGAAGAGGGAAGTTTCAATCTGCTGTCATCATCGATGTGACTGCCTCGCCAAAAAATGTACCAAGCCACACGGCTAACACAGACAAGAATTATGGGCTAATATAAGTTATAAGAGTTAATAAGAAGCCTGATATACTGGGCCAATCAGTTTATAATTAATGTAGACCTCTGTGTGATTTCTTTGGGACTTAACAACTGTGGGAACCAGGCAGGATAGAAACTTCAGTCAACACTGTATGTACTCTGTTTTAGCTACTTTCCTTGTTACCGTGAGAAAATACCCGAGAAGACACAATTAAGGAAGAAAGTAAAGAAGGAAGGGTGGACTTTACTCAGTCTCATAATTGGGTACATTCCGTGATGATAGGGAGGATTTGACAGCAAAAGGCATTGTGGTACTAGCAGGAGGCTGGCTGGTCACATTGTCTGCAGCCCAGAATGATGTCACCTATGGTTACATGATTTTCCACAGACATGTCCAGATACCTTCTTCTTTGGTGAGTCGAGATTCTGTGAGGTTGATGATCAATACTAACCCTTACACACTCCATTACTAACTGAAATTTGGGTGGTAAAAATTGCAATTGTTTTATTTTCTATTTCTTTGTTTATTAGTGGGTTGAATATGCTTCTACTGGCCACAGGATTTCTTCATTGCGGAATGGCCTGTTCCCACCTTTTTTGGCTTTTAAAAAATTTGAGCCTCTATTTATTTCTCAACTACAAGGTTATTTTATGTTCTCATCTAGGAACTTGTACGTGCTAGAGAAATGCTCTGTCACCTAACTACACCTCAGTATTAGAAGACGCATCCACGATGTCATGTCTGCTATGAGTGTTACAGATTTCCACCAGGTTCTTAATTGCTTCATATGTTTGTTTATTTTAACTACATAGAATCAGAACTCCATGACTTCTGCGGTTTAATGCTTATAAGTCATCACTACACAAATCAAAAATCTTTCATCCACTTTCATTTTTGGGCAGAATATGAAGTAAAGACATAACTCCATTTTCCAAATCTTTGGACCCTTGGGCAGACTCTGATTATGAAAAACTTTGAATTCTGCCTATAGGACTGGATTTGGATCTCATTCGATTGTGACCCTTTGGAAGTATGGACACTAAGATGTTCCATTGATGCCACCATGACTTCCTGTGTATGAACCAGATGTGGTTCCAAAAGCAGACAGCAGAAGAACTAATAGGCAGACACTGGTGAGTTGCAAGGGTTGGTTTATGTCATAGAATTCTAGTGCCTGCTTGAGTAATTTTATTCTGCTCTTCTGAATCAAATTCCCTCTCTTTAAGATAATCCCACAATTATTAGCATTTTGGTATGAAGCACTGTAGAATGAATATGAAATGGCTTTGGACTTTAGATCAATAACTGACATCACTGTGAAAGGTCCCCAAAGGCTCGTATAATTGGATGCTTAGTCCCTACTTGGTGGAATTGTTTTGGAAAGGATTAGGAGGTGTGTCCTTGTTGGAGGAGGTGTGTCCTTGTTGGAGGAGGTGTGTCCTTGTTGGAGGAGGTGTGTCCTTGTTGGAGGAGGTGTGTCCTTGTTGGAGGAGGTGTGTCCTTGTTGGAGGAGGTGTGGCATTGTTAGAAGAGGTGTGTCCCTGGAAATGAGCTTTGAAGTTTCAAAAGCCAGTTGCTTGTTTTCTCTCTCTCTCTCTCTCTCTCTCTCTCTCTCTCTCTCTCTCTCTCTCCCCCCCCCTTTCCCTTCCTTCCTCCCACCCTCCTCTCTCTTTGCCTCCAACTTGTGGATAAGATATAAGCTCTCAGCTATTGCTTCAGTGACATGTCTGCTTGCCTGTTCTCATTCTCCCCACCATTGATAGTCATGAACTCACCCTAACACTGTAAGTAAGCTTCCAATTAAATGCTTTCTTTTATAAGTTGCCTCGATCATGGTACCTCTTCACAGCAATATAAAAGTAACTAAGACTAAATAACTAACCCTCTACCTTCCTTTCTATTTTTCTTTTGGTTAAAACAGATCTAGAATGCTAGAGGTTTCTAGCATAGGACCAGCGAGGGACTACCAGTGAAACTTTTGTTTTATTGAGCACCAACGTCTCACTTATTAATTAAAAATAATAGTACTTAGCTCATGGATTGTATTTTCATATGGAATGAGCACCTGAATACTTTGGAGGTGTGGAAACTGAGACCGTAAGCACAGAAAAGTAATTTACTCTTGTCCTAATAAAGCTTCTTCCACGGTTACAGTAAAGCTGTCCTCGTGGAGCATCCGCAGGGCATTTGGAGTCATGTGACCAATGCAAGGAAACCAGAGATAGTGAGCCTTCTTTTCTGCAGAATGCTTGTCACCTGTGAGCATTCAGCAATTGTTTTTTGAATGTATCATGTGAGGGACTGAACAAACCTGCAAGGTAAAATTATTGTCTCCTTCTTTCCCTCCCCCAACATAATATTTTATTAATTATTTGGGAATTTCATACAATGCACCCCCAAAATACCTGCTTCCCAGTCCTCCTGGATCCACCCTCCCACCCTTGTGCGTCTCCCCACAAAGAAAAACAAAACAGACAGACAAATAAAGCCCACCAAGTCCAATTTGAGTTGCCCGTATACTCACTGGAGCATGGCCAAACTCCCAGTCGCCAGCCCCTTAATAAAAACTGAGTCCCCCACGTTCCACATCAGAAGTCCTCAACTGTGAAGAGCTACATTTATTATCTCTATCTTAAAGATGGGGGTGAAGGAACCCTGACTGCCTTTATGGAATAGAAGTTTCTCTCCCAAGTCCTGAGAATGCCAGAGTATGCTTGCACAATTGGGCTGTTTCTGGGCTCACGGGGCTGTAGATGATAGAGTATTCTTCTGTCCTAAGCATCTGGACAACTCTATGTTCTCTTCTTCCAGTGTCCGAAGCTTCCTAGAGGATCTTCAGAGGTGACCATCTGTGATGACTTTGAAGTCACTGAATGTTTTGCTGGGGGTGGGTTGGTAGAAAGTAGAGTGGTAACACACATTTGAGAGTCTGAGTGCCAGGTACTAAATAAAACACTTCAATTTCCACGATGTTACATTGCTTTTTCTTTTTTTTTCTTCCTTTAAGAGCAAGTTAGGAAACAGAATGCAGTAGCTTACTTATCACTCTCGTAAAACCCAAATAGCTACCAAATAGAACAAATAGAACATCACAAACCCAAGGCTCCCCAAGATACTTATTTGAGAACTCTTTCCTTCTCCCAAGATGTCTTAGTTGGGGTTCCTATTGCTGTGATAAAACACCACGGCCAAAGCAACTTGGGGAAGAAAGGCTTTGTTTTTGTTTACTCTTCCACATCACCGTTTATTATGGAGAGGAAGGAAGTCATGATAGGAACTCAGAACAGGGCAGGAACCTGGAGGCAGGAGCTGATGCAGAGGCCATGAAGGGTGCTGCTTACTGGCTTGCTCCTGGTGACTTTCTCAGCCTGCTTTCTTATAGATCCCAGGACCACCAGCCCAGGGGCCATCCTCCCCCATTAATCATTTTCAATTGAGAAAATTTGCTGCAGGCTAGCATGCAGCCAGCACCATCTCTTGGAGGCATTTTCTCAATTGCACCTCCCTCCTCTCCAGTGACTCTAGTTTGTGTCTAGTTGACATAAAACTAGCCAGCACAACTGCTAGGTGGTCTTCTGTGGAGAGTACTTTTGTGTGTTTATTTGTAATATATAAACCGAGTGTGTAATATATAAACTGAGTCTGTAAGCGCCAATATTTTGGGATTATAATATGACAGATGCAGATATGCTGATCTCCCCAGATGATAGACTCAGGCAATATGGGCCCCTCTGTATCTAGTTTCTTTGACCAACATTGCAGGAGTGAGAGATTGCTGTGTTGCTGTTCCCAAAAGCAGAGCTTGAATCATTTCCCTTGGTATATGCTGCTGTGTTTTATGGCTACACATTTTGCGAATTTTGCTTTTGATGAACATTTGGATTGCTTTCAATTTTTAGCCATATAGACAAAATGGCTAGGTTTTACAGTTTGTACTCTGTAAGCATTTCTTGCTGTTACTAACAGAGTTGCTGGATATCAAATATGTGTATTTTCAACTTTAATAGATAAGGCCAGTCGTTGCTTCGTGGATCACATGAGGAAAACTGAATATTGCAAATTTAAGATTATTCTGTGAGTTCCAGAAACTTGGGTCCCAGGTCTCAAAGTTTAGTCTCTTTAGAGTTGGGCTCATGGTGGGAGACATGGCAGCTCATTGGCCGGTAACATAGACTCCTTTCAAAACAAATGGTATGTGTCTGAAGCCAACATCGGTCTTTTAAAGGGATAAAGAAAGAACGGGTTGTAAACGGTTCGTTAAGCTGAGTGGTGGGCCAGTCTGGGAAAAGCAACTGTTGTATGTGATGTCTCACTCCGCCGCCGGGTGGGATCCATTTCCAGCACTAACTGAACTGAGATCTCTCGTGAAAGGTTTAGGTTCTTGGGGCCAGGGCCTGGAGCAGGTTTCTAGACTCCTCTGTGGTAGGGGTTGGGAGTGGGGCGTGAGCAGAGTTCAGGTACAGGAACCGCGAGGCGAGGCTTGTTGCTGGGCGACAACGGAGCTGGTCTTTTCTTCCCTATTTAGCTGGCAGAGCCTGCCTGGCCTTGTGTCCCAGTGGTCTGTGGGACATCTGGCCCATCACCTTCAGCTGGGAGAAGGTACGGGCTTCCTGCACCATCCAGGTGAGCAGAGGCCATGGATCCTGGTGCGTGTAATTTCCCTTGGATCCTGGAGAGACTGTGGCAATTTGGCTGGTTCCCACTCTCATCCGCTTTGGTAGATTCCAACTTCACAGAAGTTTGCATCAAACACAGGGCTGACTTTGAGCAGTGATTAGCGTCGGAATAGCCTCTGGGTTTCTGAAGCCTGGAAGGAAGGGTGAAAGGAAAACTTTTCGTGGGAAAAGGAGCACGGGCAGAAGAGGAGCTAAAGTGAAAATGCCAGCGGAAGTAGATAGACTGGGCTTTGGGAACCGAGAAAAAATGGGTATAGACGGCAGAGAGGCAAGGAATCAGGACAGTTGCCTGAAGTGTGTCAGTTAACAGTGGAGGCGATTAATGTCGTCGCTGACCGTTTCTGCCACCGTGAGCCTGGGTAGCTTGGTTTGGACAAGCCTTAACAACCTAGGTGAGAACTCCCAATGGAGTCTATCTAATTTCAGAATAGAGGGCTGTTTCTATTGTGTTCAGGAGTAAATGAGGTATACGAGCTAACTTCAAGGGTTCTTTGCTATGGAAGACTGCAGACACACACAATACATCCTTTTGCAGACTTGTGTTAGAAAAATTTAGAAGGAGATACGATGTTTTTTTTAAAAAAAATCAGCTATAAATGTTTATAATTTTCTCTTTTCCTATTTACCTCTTTCAATAGTAGTATGGATTATAAGCAGCAAACTACACAAAGGTACAGTCTATACACTGTGACATCCACACAGGTCTATAGTTCGAGCAATTTCAACAGATATTCACACCTTTGAAACAATTGCTACAATCAAGATGACTGAGTTGCTTTTTCTGCTCACTCTGCATCCATACCTGCTCTGGTTGCTCTCCCCCTAAACAGCCACTGAGATCTGCTGTGTGACAACGCAGAACCAGTTGTGTGTTCTGCAGTTTAAGGAGGTGCTATATACACTTTTGTGCGTGGCTTTATTTACTTGAGATGGTGACTTGCCAGGGCCCCTTTCTCCGTCGTTTACTGTAGTAGCGTGGGCTTTGTTTCCTTGTGTTTAAGACAGGGTCTCACCATGTTGCCTGGACTAACCTGTGATCACCGTCTTTGTCTCTCAAGGGCTGGCTTTACAGGCATGTTCCATCATGCTTGGCTCTGTAGTTTTGAAATCGGACACTGTAAATTGTCTAGATTTGCTTTTTTTTTTGAGAATTATTTTGATGATTTTAGGCCATTTGAAAATATCTTAGAATTAGCTTTTTTTTTTTCTGTTAAAAATGTCTGCTGGGGATTTTTTTGCAGACAGTAGACAACAAGCCAACGGATTCTGCTTCAGTCTTCAGAGAACATATAGGAGACGGTTGATAACAGCTATCAGAATAGCTGGCTGACAGCAAAACATCTTCCATTTAATATCAAAGCAAAGTAGAAAATGTTACAGAGCAGAACAGGAAAAAATCTGGAGTCCATCCTGGAGGGGTCAGTGTGGTATTGGGAGTTCTCCCTTCACAG